GCTGCAGCAACAGCCCCAAGGCCCACAAGTAACATCTTCAACCTCCCTCCCACACTTCATTTCGAACCAAGAGCGGCGGCAGCAGCACTGAAGGCCTGCAGTAGCAGCAGCAGCATCAGCTGCAGCCGCAGCCTTCCCTTAAAACGAACAACACCCAGCGCAGACAGGAGTTGGCGTTCCCCGAGGCTCCCCACTATAATCCCTTCAGCCTGTAGTCCAAGGCTCCATTCTAATGGATCAGCTACGAGGGAAGCTTAGGTGACCAGTTGAACCGGCGTTTCCTTGTGAGTATGGGTCAGGGCTCAAGTGAAAGTTTGGGATCGTGCTACAGTGTCAGTATGGCGGGAGAAGACTCAATACGAAGCTGTTCAGCATATATTCGATAAAAAGGGGGGAAATATAACTAAAGTAATCGTCTTATCTTCAGGCTCACGACTGGCCTCGTGAGACTCAACTGAGGCGATTCGGGCGGTCCGGAGATAGACCAACACCGACCCAACTGTGCATCGAAATTACCCTTTTTTATTGTCCTTTGTTTCCATTTTATTTAAAAGTTGAGGACAATTTTGTTTTAAACTCAGAAAGTCACTTTTTCAGTCCTGTTTGCCTTCCCACCGCTGGTTTCTGCGGGCCTGCATGCGAGTGGAACTCGACCGACCGACCTCCCTTGGGCAGGTGCGCCGTCAAAAAGGCTGCAGCTTTGCGAATCAAAAACGATTAAGATAACTCTATATCAAAAAAATTAGACTTTTTTGGATTGTCTGGAGAAGTGCTTAAGGGGAGAGTCGGTGTTAAAGTGCCGCCGACGCTCCCACTCGACGTCTCTTGTATGTTCATGTTCACGTTCATGCATCTGCAGCTTGTCTTCTGAACTTACTGCTAGCTCTAAGCCTAGTAAAATATTTAAATATTACTGTTGTTGGTATACAAAACGAGCAGAAAAGTTGAGTCAATGGACCTTCTTTACAACCCCAAAACGGACGGCAGCCAGAGTCTCCAGCTGCATGTCAATGAGCTGCTAATAGGTAAACCGGCAGGCGTCCAATTTTCGTTGTTTTCGCTACTTATTTACGTGATTTTTGAGTAGCGTATATCAAAGCCCTAAATGCTTTCAAAGCATGTGGATTTGGGCATATTATTTTTTCCCTGTTTAATTGAAAGGGCGCAGGCGGAACAGTGTCAGTCCGGCGTATTAACTGCGCAGATCGATGGAGAGTTGCGTGCTGTTTGCTCAGTGAAGTGCAAGCCCTTATATTCATATTGGCAATGTCTGGTGTAGCAGCTGCACGGCAGAACGCCTTTACATCCGTGTGATGAGACGAGCACCGTTGCACGCCCTGTACTTGAAAACAACGGAAAATGCATATATCACGTTGCCTCTCTGTTGCACGCAGGCTGTCAGAGATTAGATCAAGAAGCCTCTGACTTGCTGCATACGGCTGCGGCTAAGACGAAGACGTTNCAGGCTGTCAGAGATTAGATCAAGAAGCCTCTGACTTGCTGCATACGGCTGCGGCTAAGACGAAGACGTTACAGCAGCAACAGCTCAGCGTCCGTCGTTACATTTCTCGCTGAGGTTTCAATATGTGCTAATTAAACTATACATCCCTTTGACACTTAATCCATTGCATCTTTTGCTCAGTCTGCGTGCACGTGCTAGTATAAATACCTCTGTATATTGCTGCAGGGCCCTAGCCCACTTGCAACTGTTTCATATGGCGAACCAATGCAACCGTTTGCGGCTTACTATACGGTTTTCCAGCCATTCTACGGTTTTCCATACTACATACGCAGCAGTTTTAAGAATTAAATGCATGAGCAGCACCTCTGAATGCAAGCATAGACGTTTGTCGCAGGCGGTCGGAGTACGGCTTGCAAGGGAACAAGAAGCCCAGCAGGGCAAGCAGCGGCTCTTTGTAACGGCGCTTCGGTACAGGCAACACGAAGAGAAGCTACACAGGCGAGCATACTACGAAATAACGGAAACATTTATCCGGCACACTGCATATCTTGAGTTCAGAACCAAACGAGGTACTGAGGAATCGGAAAGACGCTCTTATGTTGCTGCTGCGCCTCTTCCACAGGTTGCAACAGGAGGTTTCCCGATTGCAGCAGGTGCTGCAGCAGCAGCAGCAGCAAATAGCTTTTCTAAGGGCTGAGGACCAGAGCCTTCGGTAGAAGAACTGCGACCCCGCTGCTTTTGCCCTTTGGTCTCCTAATGACCTATTACAGGCTCGGCGGTCGCATACCTGCCTAGAAAGAGCCAAGCTACTTAAATACGGCTGGTGCTTCTTCTTGGGCTGCCTATGACGGTGTGCCGAAGAGCCGTTTCACTTACTGTTTGTGCTCGTGAATTTAGAAGGAACAGAGGCAGGCGCCAGCCGTTGTTGTTGCTGGTCTTGTGTGCAGCTGCAGCATGCAGCTGCCGCCGGGTTACTCCCGCCTTCCTCAGAGTATGCCTCTGCTTCTCTTGAAGGCCTACTCCGACCGCTTGCAAAACGGGTTGGAATCTTCTTTTTGTCGAGCTTAAACCGTGTTTGTCTTCTTCACACATGAATAGACCTTGGCTGACTCTTCAGCTACGGGCATAAACTTGTGTTATTTTGCAGAGCAGTGTCTTGCCACCGATGGCCCACTCTGCAGTATCACCAAACGTTCATACAAGGCATGTAGTGAAAGGTACACAGTGCATGTACTAACAGCAAGCATTGAATACACAAGCATGGGTACGTGTATCCACCTTTGAGACGCCTTGCCGCGCACTCCCCCACAGCTCTTCAAACAGCTCACACGCTTGTTTGCCGGGTTGCCTAAGGAAATAAGGGTGGGGTGGGGCGCTGAGAAGCGAGGTACGGTGATTTTGTAACGATGAAGAAAAAGGTAAACTAGAGAGAATGCCGACTGCTGCAGATATTTGCTGCTGCTAGTGCTATTGGCAAATGGCCGACTCAGGCCGACGCAACAGCCTGCGACTGGTCAGCTACAGCTGCCTCTGCATCGCGTATCGGTTGGGAGCATCTCTTTCCTGCGGGCAGCCTTGCCCATTCCGACATTGGAATCCAGCCGGCGTCGAATCAGAGGTTCGTAGCACAGCTGATGGGGGGATCGGATCAGTCAAAAGGGGATGACGTCCCCAAAGTATGCAAAGATGAGCATACCGTTGGCAGAGACGCTGAGCAAACTACAGTTAGGGATAATTCAGCACACCAACGAAACAGTTAATTCAATATAGCAAGTAGATGCAAAGCTACATAGCCCTGTTCCACCTACCGAAAGAACATGGAAGGCTAGAAGTAGTGTCAAACCACGGTACGCCGTTCATACCCAGGTCTGCGGTCGCCGCCGCCGTTTCTGGAAGAGCATGTATAAGCCCCTGAAGGGTGGCTGAGGGAAAGCGAGATGCAAAACCCCTCCTGGATCTGTCGCTCTTCTGGAAAGTGTACATGCATTTTTCCTTTTGTGTGGCATCCGTCTGTCTACACGTGCGCCGACGATCCCAGCCTCATCCGCCTCGTTCTTCCATTCTTAACATTGCTGCATTTTCGTGTGGGCATTGAAAGTAAACTTAGGGGACTCGTCAACCAAGGAACCTAACGAGCTCAGACTGGTCAGTGCCGTTTCAGTAGAATCGCTCGCTTCCATCTCCAGGCGCATTTAACCAAACAGTTAAAAGAGAAAGAAACCACTATTTAGGCGAGGCTTCTGGCCAGCTGAGCAAGCCGTGGGGGAGCACTGCCCTCGCATGAATTTATCGGCGCGTCTACCCAACATAGCCTGCATCGTGTCGCCGAAAGCGCACTAAATGAATTGGTGCAATTCCCAGGAGGGACTGATTAGTTATTTGGGGCACGAGCGCCTCTTAGTGTGAATGATATCTGTCCTACTATTCCTTCAAACACCCTGCCCTGGGGGTTGGGAAAAAGCAATGGCCAGTTGCACTCAAGTGCAGTCTTGCAGCCGCCTGCTCCAGGACCCCTCAGGCATCCTGGGTTCCCGCCACGGTAGAAGCGCAGGCCTTTAGACATTTCTGTGATGCGCAGGAGTATGCAGGATGCAGATGCGGTGCATTAACCCAGAATAAACCCTAGAACATCATTTGGCAAAGGAGACCCTAGTGCTGATCACCTATTAAATTGAGAATCCCTCTATTCTCTGCTTTTCGCCCCAAAATTTCGAGGCTTTGGTTCCTATTGCCCTCTAGAGCAACCCCTAAAGCGACCTAGGCTAATTACTTTCTCTGCAGCGTTCACATATACTCTGCCTATTCTTGTGATTCGTTGTAACTGCACGTATTCATCAACATATTAGTTGCCCGCTGAAGCGACCGAGCGCTAAAGCATGTTATTTTTTTTTTTTCTCGCGTCCCCTCCCCCAGATGCTTGCAAACCACCAAGGCCCTAGCTGGTGCAGGTGCGGTGCAACGGGTAGTGCCAACTCCCATCTACTACTCAGTATCAATTGTTCCCCGGAATGTTTCTCTATGCTAAGGCGATAAAAGGCAAGGAGTCAACACCACCTAAAAAGGGGAAAACGAAATCCCCCACGGCAGCAGCCGCCGGCTGTCGACAATCTCGCGAGACACCAAAGCGGGAACAAATACGAATGACAGGGAATTCCCACTATCCCTGTTCAAGTGTATTCATACCCCACTAAGAGCTAACACTGCTAGCTCAGGGCAAGAGGAGATATGCTACATTAATGTTCCCTTTGAACTGCTGTGCAGGCAACCGCTCATTTCCCGCAAACGGAAGGGCCCTCACCGCAAGCGGCGACGAAAGCCAGCGTTCGAGAAAATGAGGATCAAATTTTCCGACCTAGTAGCCGTACACCGCACAGAAAAGCTGTTATCCAAAAAGGCATGCATTTGCACATAAAGGCATACCCCAGATGCTGCAATAGCCCATCCTTCAAGCGATCAACCCGGATGTCTCGATAGCCCGTGGGATGTCCACGACCTATGCGCTTCGCAACTCTACAATATCATCCATCATAGATGATTCAGTGATTACGAGACCGTAAGCATTTCTCCGCATGCTACGGCTGACGCGAAGGAACGGAAAGCCTGTTCAAGTTGCCGGAAGGACTCTGACTAGGGCGAACCTTTCGTGGGGTGACTGCCGCGCCATTCCTTGTCGCCGCTGGCGCTTCTTCTGTGAGCTCATCTAACTGAGGTGCCTTGGAGTGCGCTTCTCTGTCTTGAGTTGAGGCGTACACAGCACCTTGTTTGAAGTGCCTCCCATCTTTCTCGTGTTGCTGCGGGTAAACGTGCAGCCCGAGATTTGTGTTGCTTCTGGAGGGAGAAGAAGTCGCCGCGATAACGGTGGCAGCGGAAGTTGCCAGCAACTCAGATACAGCCGGCGGTCTTACAGGTACAAAAGATTTAACAGGAAAGCTTAAAGCCTCAGTTGTTGTCGTTTCCAGAGGCTCATCAGACGTTTTAGTCCCCATGAACAAATTCTCCCACATCCAGACCAGACCGAACATAGCCCGGTCCGCCATCCCGAGGGCCAGAGATATCGAATGTCGTAGCGAGAAAGACGTCACCTGAAGTAAAGTGAAGGGAAAACCTCACAAGAAAGAACTGGGCATAGATTTCGGGCCAAAAAAGCACAACGCACTTTGGGGCACGCTGAAGGGCTTCGGAGTCTCTTGCTAAACGCCAGAGAACCAGACATGTCGCAAGCACGGATTTACGCTATATATATATATATATATATATATATATATATATATATATATATATATATAGGGAAAGAAAAAATGCGTACACAGATTACAAGCTTCAGGAGCCCCAGACGTCTCAGCAGGACGAATGTGCAGCACCCCAAGAAGAAGAGGAACGCGAGCCAAATAAGCTCTGAATCAGACGCAGACCTGTAACACACACAGAAAACAGACCCAGGCAGACAGTTTAAGCATCCCCCTTAGTTGAACGAGCTTATTTCGTGCCCTTCAATCTATCGCTGACGTCCTATCTGCTTTAGCCTAGTCGTCGCAACTACAGTAACATGAGGCAATAGAGAGGCCGTATATGCACCACGGATTTTGCCCACTCCACGAAATGAAAAATTGCATGCGATCACAGGCGCCAAGAGAGCAAATGGAACGCAAAATATTGTTACAATAAATGGGCTATCTTAACTTTGCCGTCCTGTCTCCTGTGCATTTAATCAGAAGCCAGGCCAAGCGTGCCCCCTGTGACAGATAAGTATATTCACACTCTAACGCAATTTAACTGGCTCCGTAGGCCTGCGCCATGGCAATGGGAAATGCCATGCGTCCGACTCCGCCGGAAGCCGCACACAGCATCGATGCCATCTGCGCAAGACTATCCACCAAAGTTGATCCAAGCAAAGCGAGATGCCGGCACAACTGAGAGCCCAGAACTCGCTCCTTAGCGATAAGGAAATTGAGGTAGACAAAGCAAGCAAAGCACACTAGCAAACGCAAACAAACGACACTGGTGTGGAAAACACGAATACGTCTGCGTCCCCCAAACAGACGGTTGCTACGGTCTTGCACCCACTCAGCTGTTTAATGCAGCAGCTGCTGCATATCAATGAGCTGATGAGGGAAACGGAAGACTTTACAC